GAATGCTTCCAGCACCTTGTTGAATCTATGCCACAAAGAATTGAGGCAGTTCTGAAGGCAAAAGGGGGTCCAACCCGTTACTAGCATGGTGTACCTAATAAAGTGGCCGGTGAGGGTATATATATGTACATATACCTGTATATGCACTTAAAAATAAGAACAAAAAGATAAAAGACTTGCACAGATGATCAATCAATATATCTACTGTATCCATCTGTATATCTGTCCATGTTCTTTCTTGTTTGCACCCTGGTTGAAAACACTGCATTCTCCACCTTAAGTCGCTGCACAACTCTTTGAATACTAAAAGCAGCAAAGAGGCTTTGACATTTAACTATGACTTTGAGGTGATGAGACACACACACACACACACACACACACACACACACACACACACAGGCACATTTGCGCACACACCATTCCCTGTACATCCAATGTCTGCTGGACCCTCAAGATTAGGCAGGCATGGTAAAATAAGACTTGGCATCCTAATGAATCTGAGCAGTGTCTGTTGCTGGTAATGAAACCCCATTGCCATTATAGTCATGATATACAGTAATCCCTCGTTTATCGAGGTTAATGGGGACCAAAACCACCTGCGATAAACGAAAATCCGCGAAGTAGCGACCAATTAACATAAACAGGTTAAGGTTGTTTTGTTTTTTTTAAGTCGGCAAACAGTCCGCGAGAAGCTGCAAAACAACAGCGAGTCACATAGAGCAACATATACAGTACTGTACTCCATGTATATTAAAAAAAATAATTGTTTTGGTTTTTTTTGAAAAAATCCGCGATGCACTGAACCCGCGATAAACGAACCGCGAAATAGCGAGGGATCACTGTATAGACACACACACACACACACACACACACACATATATATATATGCTGTATACAGTATATATCTGCTCAAAAAAAATAAAGGGAACACTTGGGAGCGCCATTGTGTTTAAGTGTTCCCTTTATGTATGTACAGGACTCACGAAAAGTTGAGTGTCATCAGCAAGTTGCTACAGAATATCGAGAGACTGGAAGAGTCACAGAAAGAGGTAGAAGTGGACACCCTTTGGCCACATCCCATGGTGATGACCACTACATTGTGAACAATGCCCTGAGGAACCAGATGATGAATGCCACTCAACTCCAGGCACGTTTAAGGGAGGTGAGAAGGCACCCAAGTGTCATGTCAGACCATTCCAAATCATTGACATCAGCGTGGTCTGCATGCTCGATGACCCGCAAAGGTACCTGACCATACCACAGGCACAGGCGTCATCGTCTTGCATGGGCCAGGGAGCATTTACGCTGGACGAGTGCTTAGTGCTGTTCTCTGATGAAAGTCGATTCAGGTTGAGCAGAAATGATGGCCGCCAAAGATGTCGGAGACGCCAAGGGAGGGCTGTGTATCAGCCACTGTTGTCATCAGACACGATTTTGGTGGTGGCGGTGTTACGGTGGGGGCAGGTGTGTCCAGTCGGTACAGAACTGTCTGTGTGCATGTTGATATATAATTTTGTGCTAGTGTACGCCGCACGCTATATATCCTATCAGTTTCACTTTCACAAAAAAGTATTTCAAAAACTAAAATTAAATTAAAAAAGCATGTCACCTTTCACCTACGGTGTCCGTGGCCATTACCAAAAATTGTTCGCAGTCAGCAGTCTGCAATTGCAGCTTGCAATCAGAACCGTTGTGATATACTGTATCTATTATTATTATTTTTTTTTCACTTGGTTTGTTTCATCTGCTATCACCGATGGCACTGGCCAAAAAATGGGAGCATGGAGCACCAGGAGAAGCATTTTAAAACTGTTCATGTGAGCTCCGACAGTGATGTTCATGCATTTAACATGCTGCAAAAGTGCGTCCCATGCCTCCGCATCAGGTCTCCCACGAAGATAGGCAGTGATTTCCTTTCCACAAACTCACGTATTTTATTTTCCCGTTTCATTCATGCTGGGGGCCGTTATGGCTATTGCTCATTATAGCATCCACGCATGCATGTGTGTGTATGCGTGCACGTGCGGTAATGGCAGATCACGGAATGTTAGTTGGCTTGAAAAGTAGGTCTTTTGTCGAAAAATGTTGGCACCCCTGATTTGGACCATTTGTCATTGATCATCTGATTATTCTGTTCGAACTGAAATGGTTAATGGTTATTGACATCCAAGCATATCTTGGTTGCATTTATAGTTCGGTGAAATCCTATTGATTCCCAAAAGACACAGAAAGGCTGCAATTTGTGAATAGTAAATGACTAATTGCTATCCAGCTCAGTGTGCATGTACAAGTATGCTTCGCCCTCACCTGTTAAGATAATTCAGCATCTTACTCATGCTTTTTTTTTTCATGGATATCAAAAAAATGCTCAAAGGGCTCTCCACAGGCACCCCTCACACCATTTACTGTACGTACACGTTACGACACTGTTTTTCAGCATCAAGTACTGCTGCTGGAGCGCATTTACTCATTTTACGTTCAAGGCATGAGGAGTTGAGCAATAGATTGACCTTTCCTGTCTCCTGTGACGCACAAAGCAGGAATTCTTCATCTTCAGTAATACGCCAAAGTCTTGCACATGGAAAATTGACAATAAAAAAAAAAGCATTGGCACAATCGATGCATACTTTCAAGCATCATTTAATGTCCTAGCAAAAGGATTAAGCGGCTGTTCTAGGGAGTGATTAAAATAGAAAGTGCATCTTTTTGTTTACTTGAGTTTTAACATTAAAAAAAATAATAATAATTAAAATTGTTCCAAGCAATTCTATTTGTCAGATGGCGCAAAATCCACAATCATCATTGGGTAGGAACAGCAAAAGAAGCTCAGTAAAGGTACACTGTGTACTGGAGTATTTGGTGGTATGGAGTCACTCAAAGGCACATCACAGCTTTGTATCTCACGAGGATTGTTGCACACGCACAGAAGACACACATACAACATGCACAAGCCTTCAAATGACACGTGGACGTGATACGCAGTCTCATGATCCATAATGTTTTTCCAGCGTTCGGAAGAGGGAGAAGATAACATTTAAGGATGTCAGCTTTTATTGAAGTGGATATGATCCCAGAGATATCAAATGAAGCGACGTGTGACCAAAGGGGCTTTTGTCTTTTGACTCCTTTTCCTCTGTAGTGTTTTCCTTATTTCATTCCTCTTCGTTGCTGCAATTCTTTTAAATATGATCCTTTAAGAACGACCACTATATCCTCAAGAACATCAGTTGTCATTCAAACAGTCCAAAAGATGGGAGAAGAAAAAAAAATTAAATTTAGTAAACATTCATCTCTAAAGGTAGTTTCCCTTATATAATTTTTCTCTGCCATTATGTATTTATAAACAAGTTTAATAACATACCAATCAGTGGTTATTTCACAACTGGGGGCAAAAAAAAAAAAAATTCCAACGCACAAAATGTTTACACGCTTTTTTTTAAGGTAAATAAAAGTCTTTGTCGACTGTTTTCATGACGGGCATAGCATAGTTCAGAGTTCTCATGGCGTTGTGGTTCCTCACATCCCCACGCGTTCCACTATTATACTACGAGATCTTTACATACAAATATGGACAAAATGGCGGCTTGTGCTCCAAAGCCTCAAGTCTTTTTTTTTTTTTCTCTTTCTTCAAAGTAACCATCCGCTCTGAGGCGCCGGCAAGGCAAAGACTCATAGCTGGCCCTCACCGCTGGCTTCGTCCTGACTGCCGCCGGGCTTCTCCGAATCGGGACCGGGCAGCTCTCGGAGAATGAGGGCGGCGCTCTTCTCCGAGAACTCGTCGCCGTCCGCTTCCAGACCGTCAGGGCAGTGTAACTTCAGTAGTTCATCTCGGAGCTGAGCTGTGTGTCGCTGCGTCCCAAAACAAACACATCGGAAATCAATTTCAAGGGTTCTTGGAAATGCTGAACACTACTGTACTTGGGGAAAAAAAAAATTCAAAATCTAATTTAAAAGTTACAGCACATTTTTAAAACAGCAATGATGAGGTATGACAACGCATGTATGCAACACGTGCGCACGCACGCAAAAAAAGAAAAATAGCACTCAAAATGTTTGTACCTCATAAAAACAGTTACGTCATAATGAAACAGAATGGAAAGCATGAAACAGTTTGTGCATCTCGGTATCATGCTGCAATGCAATTCGGTGTGCTGCTCCTTCTGGTGTACTCGTCTTGGCCACCAAGAGTGAGTACTGTCTACATGTGTTGCTTCAAATATCAGCTGCTTTGAACTCATTCAATGCCAGACATCTGTGCTGATTCACAACCCGAGAGGAAACAGACATTTTAGAACACTTTTGGGAGTGATTTTTCCAAGACCCACAGCTTATCGTGTTCAATCATGACATCAAATCTACCAAATGAAAGAATAGACTCTTCTGTCACCAGAGATAAAGTTGAATTCTACCCTTTTCAATTCTCGAGTAATCAGCAGTAGAAAATAGATCGCTTTGCCCCAAAATCCGGAGAAAAACAGCTTTTTGTGTCAACAATTAGATGAGGCAAAACAGTCAATTTGATACTATTATTTTTGGTTTGGTGACACGTCTAACCTCGGAGCAGCGGTTGCTCACAATAAAATCAGCTCATTCAACAATTTGGATTGTTTTTGATTGCAATATAATCAATTTAGTGAAAGGCAAGCACTGTGAGTGGCGCCATCTTACCAGGACGACACCATCGGCCTTAAGTGGACGTTCATGTGATGACCTTGTCATCCACATCATATTGAAAAGATCAAGTCCCTTTTTTTTTTTTTTTTTTTTTTTAACACATGCAATTCTGTTTTATGATTAGGCAGAATGTGAGTAAATGAGAGCTTGATGCTTCTTTTTTGATGAAATGGTCAATTTCTGCCAAACTGCTGCCATTTGATAAGTGAGCTGAATGATTTACTGCCATCATATAACACTCATTTTCCCAAGATTGCGCTTGCAAGACAACTTAAAATTTGAAAAAACTCAAATGACGGCTTGTCCTGTATTTTCTGCTCGATAAGGCGCACCGAAAAGCATTCCATTTTCTCAAAAGCTGACAGTGCGCCTTTTAATCCAATGTACCTTCTATATCGATCAATTTTCTGACTTGTTGGACGCAGTATTCTAAATGTTCTGTAAAGCACTTTGTTACAGCTACAGCGGCTGTGAAAGTGCTATATAAATAAAGCTGTAATATATTGTATTCTCTTTAGTGAAGCTCCATCTAGTGGATGCACAACACAACCTCCGCCACTATTGTTTCTTCTATTCTAAGCGCCTTATAATGCGGTGCGCCCTATATATTGAAACGGAAAAATGCAACTTTAGAAAAAGTTGCACGGTTCATGGGGATGAGTTGCATGATGAAGTTAATGTTTATTTGGGCTTCAGGATGTCAACCTCCTCCAAAGCGCCATATCGTGAGGAAAATACGCTATCTTGAGAACCTTAAAAGCCGGGTCACTTGGATCTCAAGGCACCGCTGCACTTGAGATTCGGACATTAGCACAGGCTGTTTCAAACGGGGGTCCCCAGACTGTTCCATGACCAAACTAGAGACTCACTTTACTTGTATAGTAGATCAATTATTCCAATTGAAATTCTCTCTGACGTTGGGTTTATTTCAATTCAAACTTCATCCTGATTTATCCTGTTCAGAGTTATGGATGAGTTAGAGGCTGCAGGCAATCTCTGTCTTGTGGCCAGAGGCGGACATCACTTTGGGCTGGTCAGCAGTCAATAGCAAGGCGTGTTTAACCATTTAAAGCGCAAATATTGTGATTTATTCTCATCCCGACTAAGCACAAAGGTGAGAGGGATTTTTGGATTAGCATTAGTTAGGTTTTTGGGGAGTTTGTTATCATTATTACGCAATAACTAAACCTTAACTTTGAGGACGGGCCGCTGCCAAATCCACATGAAAATTAAGACTGACATATGTTTTCGCGTCACAATGGAATCATGTGATGATGTTACAGACAACTGTCAATGTGTTTCAATAGGTCTGCGTTTCGAAATTCCTTTACAATACCTTTAGCGCTGCAGCATGATGGGACATTGTACGCCCGACCCTCTTGTCACTGCTGTACTGCTGAATGTCAGCGATCCATTCCTCGCACTGAGACATAATCTCTGTTCGCTTCAGGTAAAAATGTTTGTGGATCACCTGCAAACACAAGAATGTGACACTGTGGGAAACAACACACCAACAGGGTACAACGATCCAATCACAGACAACCATACAATACGATACAAATGATTGTAAATGTCTTTTCTACCTTTGGTACTAAAAGCGCTTTACACCGTTTCCTCATTTACCTACAGATGAAGCAGCATCAGGAGCAAGTGGGGTTTCAGTATCTGGCTCAAGGACACTTCGAGAAGGTTACAATGGCCGGGGATAGAACCCCCAACCTCTGGCTTGGGAAACAACCATTTTACCACGGAGCCAGGCCGTCCCAATACAGCGATACTATACATCTTTACTGACATTCATGACATTATGTCACGTCGTGGAAGATGAAGAGACATTTTCATAAGTATACACAGTGTGCGTGTGCGCGCGCGCGCAGAGGTAGTTATTGTGTTGCTTGTTGTGCAACCCTGCCATTGCTTGTTCTAATTAGAAAATTATGATTCAAATTGGGTGGGTAGAAAAAGTCACACGTGAAAATGACATTAAATTACTTTTTAATAAACATTCAGTCACTCACGCACACAAAGATGTCTACAGTGTCCATATTTTTTCCTCTACTTTTAAATTATGCTGACGTGAGCACACACCACTTTAGTATTAGTTGTTCTTATACAGTTTAACTACCAAATCATTACAAGGGCAAATTCCTGTCCTCCTCCACTGTGCAGGAAATAAAACTGTTGATCATGTGAGGACCACAGTTGGTGTTGGCGCTCTTTGTTGTCTTTTTTTTTTAAATAGCTGTTAAGATGGTAGGGAAAGTCATTGATTGCAGGGAAAATACATTGAAGTTAGCAACACTGAAACCAAGTCGCTGCACTGCTGACACACATGCACATCAAAATAAAAGCAGTGCATCCTTTTTTTTGTTTGTTTTACTTTTGACAATCAAAAGGCTGCAGAGACTGCACGGGATGTTGCCCGCGGGCCCTACTTTGCCCAGATGTGCTGTAAATATTTACGTTCATTCATGAGGTTGGTGAGTCAGGAAAAAAAAAGGAGCATCAAACAAACCTCTGCTGCTGATCTGAGAACACACTTTTTTTTTTTTAATGCTCACCCCTGTTTTCACGATCAAATCTAAAACAATCAAATATGACTGAAATCCACTTCCCAGCTGTGGTCACTCAGTGTTTTCCCATCATGCCTAGAGTTCCATTCAGTGAGGAATGAACTTAATTAAAATAAATGAAGAACAATTAAGATGAAGCAAAATGTCTTTTTTTTGTCAATTTTCCTTGTAAGCACCTATATATATATATATATATATATATATCATATTGATTACAAGATGACCCCCTCTTTTTCAAGACTCAAGTTTGAAAAGACTTTTTGAACACCAAATTAATTTTAATACAGAAAATAATTACAGTACATCTGAAACAAATGATTATACCAATATATTTGAGAGAAAAAGCATGTTATTTTGCCTCATTCAAATCTTAATATCTGAACGTTTAAATATGTAAACTAAAGTGTAATCACATTCGTAAATGAATGGCTGCTGGTTTTTGAAATGTAAATTACATCATAACTTCTCCTCAGCTGCCGGTTAACCTGGCCGATCTTCGGCCCACTTTTCTCCAGATTGTCGCTATGTTTCTCCATTTTCTGTCATCTCCTATTATTTTTTTCTCTTTTCTTTCTTACCACTATTTTTTTATTTTTCTTCTTCGTGCTACCGCTATTTTTATTTTTTTTCTTCGTGACAGGGGTTCGCTTTGGCCTGGGGAATCAAGTTCAGCATTCCATTCAATGATATCTGGCACCATCTAGTGTCGTGACTGGGTATAATGTCTCGATCCCGAATATAAGACGACTCCCACTTCTTATTTCAATGCAAAAAACACCGTCTTATATTCGGGCCAATACGGTATATATTATTTTGTCAGTAGTAGGCATTTTGTAGTAGATTATTCAGGGTATAATGTCTCGATCCCGAATATAAGACGACTCCCACTTCTTATTTCAATGCAAAAAACACCGTCTTATATTCGGGCCAATACGGTATATATTATT